TGCATGCAGGAAGGTGTCATACTTAGTGTGACATGCGTGTTGCGTGTGATATGTTGTGTGTTATGCGTTATGTTATTAAGACCCTGGGTAAGAAGGGATTAGTGACCATGAATAACCGACTGACGATATTAGGAATAGATCCAAAGTTTGGAATGTCCATTCTTAGGTCGAATTCCAAAATTTTAGCAGTAACGTGATTTTAATGTATTTGAAGATCAAAATCTTTTTAACTGACGGTTTTAAATAAATTTTCATTCAAAATTAGAGTTATGCTGACAAATGTGATATTCGTGACCTCTTTTCTAGATCCTGATTGATCATTTAATCATTCATCAGATTTCAATTGACACAAACTGATAATTAAACCGAACTTGACGAGATGGACAACTTTGATTTGAACGAATTAATGGACTTAGCGGAGGCATATGTAGGACCGATGATAGATGCGATCTATCGTCGCCTGATGGATCGAGACTTCGCTGTAGACGACCCAGAGGTAGTCATGTTGCTGGTCGCCTTTATAAACATCTTAGGTTATGATAACCGTGGGGACCGCCCCTCGGAAGTCTTATTGATGGCCGCATATGGAGAAAGAGGAAAACTAGACCGCTCAAACATGAGGGTATCGAGGTTCTTAAACGGGGCTCTCTCAGGAAATGACTTGGCGAACGAGCCTGGATTGGTAAGTTCCAGGACCTACCAACCAGGTGAGATGCCTCTGCCAAACAAGCCTAGGTCTGGTCTGAGAAGAATGCATCAGGAGATGAACAACGAGGCTGCCTCGTCTAGTTCACAACTGAGAGCAGTTGTGCTACCAAAGAGTGCGAGAGTAGAAGAAGAAGTTCAGACAAACGAAACCATACAAGACCTCAACGGCACGATAGAAGAAGTGAAGAAGATCAGAAGGGGGCTGGATGGAATGACCTTGAACTTGAACATTATTTTAACCAACTTTTAGCTTCCTGGAAACTTCCTGAATTGAATTAGTAAGTTCCAATTTCGTTTTCAGATTATGAGAAGATAGGAGTTGAGGGAGAGGGTTGATCCATCTTCGATTCAGATGATGATTGTTATCTACTGAACAAAAACAATGGTGTTATAATAAATAAGTAGTAGCCCTGTTTTTTAGGAGTGACCTCGTGGTCTGGGGATACTGAGACCCAGCCATGAGCTAGCTATTTTGCATATAATTAAGTTAATCAGAGCGTACTGATCGAAGCCGACTCGATGTTAGAAAGACCACCAAAAGAACTGGCTTCGGCAGAGACGGTGAAAAGCATGTAGAGCCGTTTTTAGACGCTAGCCAGTCGTTTTAGAACCTATCTTTTTTTTCCGTCGATATGTACTTCCGGGCAAACGTTACAAAGATGTTTTAATAGCGCTCCTTGGTATTATTCTTTTTAACATCATGACCGGCAGAACCGTTAACAACAACTCCGCGCCGAGCGGATGCTCATAACAAGCCCTAACCACCGGGGCGGAAGGGTAGTTCGGAACGCGGAAGCCTTCCGGGTTTCCGTGAATAGCTTTTTAACCTACTTAAGACCGATATTTCACGTACCAGGAAGGGTGGGGGGATTGGCCGTCCCGTCATTTTCTGAGTGATGCGTGACCAAAAAAAACATAAACATTTTAGGGTTAATTGAGTATTTGAGCACGTTAATGATAATTTGCGCTCAATACGGAAGAATCTCGGGATTAGAGAAGAAGAGTGACTCGGCAAGCAGTGCAAGAAGCGACAAGAAGGGGCTCAAGGACAACAACAATTGACTGTTGGGTATCTTTAACAAGTTTTGTATCCCTTTTGATACAGAAAGTAGGATATTAAGCTGCGGGGGCTCGACAGTGAGTGCACTGTAGTAACCCTTCTTCGAATTGCGAAATTCCGAGTAACGTTTTTTTTTGTCGACCCGATGTTAGAAAGACCACCATGTGCCATTCCCACGTATTGGCACAGCGGAACCTTCCGTCGCAGCACAAAAAAGACAATTGAGGCTTTAGTGATTGTGTATGGTTGAAAAGGAAGCTAGAGTATTCTTGAAGTTTTAATTTTCGAAATTTCGATTGCAGACAGTCTATTTCTTAGAAGTGCGGAAAATGGCCATTTTTGACTAAAAAGTAACAAAAAACACAAAAACAAACAACCAAATTAGTGAGAAATAGTCGGACGAGAACGATATAATAAAATGAATTCTTTTATCGTGACGATCGCGCACGATAAGACAACTAATTGGAGACAACAGACTGAAAGGAGGCTTCAGTGGAAAAAAAGGAAGGAATAGTACCCTTCCGTGCCACGAATTGGGAGTAATAACGACGTTATTACTGAAAAGGCACGGAATCGGAAGCTCGGCCCCCCAGAGACAATATATGGTGAAGGACTGTATAAACTGACTTTTTAGCTACTCTGATGTCCTGAACATTTGAATTAACACCTATATCATTTGTTTTTTTTTAGAATATGAGTAGCTAGAAAAAGGAAAGGGTCAATCCATCTCCGATGGATTTAATACAGAATTGTCACCAAAAACATAGTAAAATAGGATATTCGAGCCGTGTTTTTAATAGCAGTCATGTAGTCTGGGGATCCGAGACCCAGCTATGTGGTTGTCTTCGCATGTAAACGAAAGCTGATTAAAGTCGTTTGACTGATGGCCTGAAAATAGTAACTTTTTACCTAGCCCTAAACAGACCGGAAAATCATCTGGCTAGGTCAAGACGGTGAAAAACGAGTAGAATTTAGATAGTTGACGCTGGCCAGTAGTCTTTAAGTACTTTTTCTACGCTCCATCCTCGAATAGTATTTGGGCGAATGATACACCAAAAAAAAAACGGTTTTGGCAGAGACGGTGAAAAGCATGTAGAGCTGTGTTTAGTCGCTAGCCAATCCTTTAGAACCGAGTTTTATTTTCCGTCAATATGAACTTCCGGGCGAATGTTACATCAACATAACAAAATAAAATAAACTCAAGAAAATTTATTTATGTACTCACATACCGATTCGACCTCTAGAATTGAGTAAATAAACTATAAAGCAACTCTAGATTGAATGGGTAATTAAGTTTAATTAGAGAAGTTTGTAATGAACAAATTTCAGCTCGAGAAATAAGTTATGGGTCTGGACCATTGGGCAACTTCGGTTGTCCACCTTTCCACCGAAGGTTCACTCTGGGCACTTGAGTTAACTCTCCCTCCACTCGGGATTTTTTTTCTGTCTCCTGCCAAGAATAAGACAGCTCTACTCTCGTTCTGATATTTTCAGTTGTCGCGTGAAACGTGAGCATGACATGCTCAATTCGAAAAATTGCATTTGACCTTAAAATCAAGACTAAACGTTTTCTCAAGGTGAAACTTCCAAATATGACCGACTGGCACAAGCGGAAAACGATCTCGTGGATTTTTCTTCACAAGCAATAGCCATATCACCTATAAAGACAAACTCGTAAAACCTAACATCCTTCCTTTGTCTCTATACCAAGAGCTTTATGTTGGACTGCTGTTTGCAAAAATGCTAGCTGGAAAAGTTGACATCGACTGGCGAAGCCATGTAAGCATCACTGACGTTGGAAATCAAAGAGCTCAGATGACACGAAATTTCGTCTGCAAACACGTCTGAAGAATGGCGAGTCGGATTTCTGGTTTCGGGTTTGTCGTCGTGCTAATCTGTACAACGAATACTTTAAGTGTGACATATTGTTTGACCCAGAATGCAAAAATAGACTTCTAGGAATTTACGCGAAGTTTTTCAAAACTCGCCACAAGGAATCAGATACAGATACATGCACTTGGCGCATATTTTGCAAAAGCAACAACTGTAGAGACCTGAAGAAACTTACACTTATAACTGAAAGCTAAACTTTGAACACTGCAATGATTGGGTTTGATGCGAAGCCTTGGATTCAATCCCTAAATCCTTTATTATTATTATTTTTATGATAATTATTTACTTTTTTAAGCCTTATTCGCAGATTCTTTTGCATCGATCTCGATTGAAAAGCCGATTGTTTCAGACATATTGATGAGTATAAGTTAATTATTTTGCTTTGGGGCTGCTGAGGGTTATCTCTTGCTGGACAATGTAACGGTGGGAGCTCCTAAAGGTTTTATTGGCGTGTCATCAATAAAATTCTCAGGCAAATGGAAATGTTACAGCAATGGATTGTTTTGTTCAGCATTTTCAAGACAGCAAACTGCTGCAATTTTGTTGACAAATCTTCGGTTAGTAGTTTAATAGTCGGTGACGGATACCACAAGACAGTCAAAATCAGTGGAAATGGAAATTTTGGTATTGAAAATGGACGAATCCTGTGTGTTTTACGGCCCACGAAAAATTATTACATCGATCTCGATCAAGCAAAAAACAATGAAACGGAAAGCAATGTAAAAGTAAAATCCAGCAGCAAAGTTCAAGTTGAATTGAATTCATTGGATGCCGAATACTTCTCAGCGATAGCGGAATATAAATTAGAAAAGCATGTATCGGATTTTCATTTTTCGTTCAACATTCATTTGCGATATCAGCCTCCCGTGGGAAGCGAGAGATATCTGGAAATCGATCATCCCCTGCTCGACGTTTTCTTTTTACCAGATAGTAAAGATAGTAAATTGTTGGCGATGTGTAATTATGAAAATGTAGAAAAAAGTTTCTCAGAAGTAAATAATGAGCCAACAACTATGAAAGCAATTCACTTGAGGAAACAGCATGGTATGTCACCGAAGATAAAGGTTCCTATAGGTGCTCTCAGTGCATTAATTAAACCTTTAACTGTTTTTGTGGTGCTTCTTGGCTCGTATTCTTTTTGTTCTAGTCTCAGAAAATAAATGATAAATTTATAGATGATGAGTTTGTAGATCAATTGAAAGCTGGTTTTTGAAAATTTGTTTTGATCTCAGTATCTTTCTTTCATGGCATCGGTACTGAGTTTGAATTGACTTGGGCGTAGTGACAGTGTCTGTTGTTAACTGTATGTACATAATCTGTTAACCTTGATAATTTTTTCAGATCAAGTCTTTGACATCTTATACTCAAAAAATGGTAAGTACGAGAAAAGTTATCTATCGATGCGTGAATATTTCTTCTTTGGAAAGTAGATCTTGCTTTTTCCGAAAGTACTTCAATAAAGCAATTAAATATTCTTTGCTTTTCATCATTAATAGGAGAGTAAGAGAAAACAAAAAGAGCTTTAAGCTTAAGGTAAAAACTAGCTAAATGTTTCGTATTTTGAAGGCTCGAGGACCTAAGAAGCACTTGAAACGATTGGCCGCTCCCCATCACTGGATGCTGAGTAAATTGGGAGGAAAGTTCGCGCCCAGACCTTCACAAGGACCTCACAAGCTGCGAGAATGTGTTCCACTGGTAGTTCTGTTGAGAAACCGGCTCAAGTATGCCTTGAACTACAACGAAAGCACCAAAATTTTGATGCAGCGGTTGATCAAGGTTGATGGAAAAATCAGAACTGACAAGAAGTTCCCCGCCGGATTTATGGGTTTGTTGAATTCTTGCTTCGCAAACCGATTAAACTTAGGAATTTAAACTCAACTAGTTCAACAAGAGATCACATTTGATAATTTCAAAAAGGGATTTTTCTTCTTGGTTAAACATCAGTAAGATTAAGATTTACATATCCTATCTTTATCCTCTACCTAGACGTGATCTCTATTGAGAAGACAGGCGAGTTCTTCAGAATGGTTTACGACACCAAGGGAAGGTTCAAGGTCCACCCGATCAGCAAGGACGAAGCAGCGGTAAGTCCAAAAGATACATCCCACTCGAACATTTTTCACGTTTAGCTGAACTATGATGCTTCGTTTGACTAAAAGTACATAAATTGCCTTCTGCTGTTATATTGTTTCACTTGCGAGAGTAGGTGACTTGTAATCGGGAACTAGATTTTTTTCCCGAAACAATGTTTATTTCTGCCATGCTTAAAGGCTGATATGTTCAATTTCTTGAAAATTGAAATAAACTACTTTTTAGTTCATGTTGGTTATTAATTAAGTTTTTCTACTATAAATGCACATATAAGTTTTTGCGCAGTTTCAAGGGCATTTTTTTTGCTTTAAATTTTTTGTCTGCAGTTTCGTTTTCGGCATAACGGGAGTCGACTCAAGTTTTTCACCCTAGTCTCCGTTCGGTCATTGATTCTAAATACTTGTTAAGGCAGTTAAAGAACATGCGAGACAAGGATATGAAAATTTTGTAGAGACAGTTGTTTGGAATTTTTTGAAGATATTTTCTCAGCGTAATTTTGTTTTGAAAAAAGACTTCCTTCTTTTATGCTTTTCAATATTTTGTAAAACTCAATTGTATTGCACTTGCTTTGAATTGAATTGCTCTGCTTCGCCTCTGTGTTACGTTTGTGGTTAGCAAGCGTTATCAAGTCGGAATTGGCTTTTTTCGAGTTAACAACTTGCTTAACAATATGCTTGATTCGTTTAGGCCATCAATGGACTATCTGTTTTGATTGAATTTTTGGCCAACAGTTAGTTTTTAAGAAAGTCTGTTTTTTAAATCGTCATTTTTTATTTTTAGTTGTAAATCTTTTTTTTGTTTGTTTTGCATTATGATTCATTCGCCTTAAATAGTTCCGGCATCTACTTAATTAACCCATAATTCGCCGTTAAGGACCAAAATATGTTTTAACTCTGTCTGTCGGTGGGGGCATTCAAATTGAGAAAATTTAAAATTTTTTATAGCTCATGTTTGTGACCGGCTCACGCGGTATTTTTTCCGGCTCGACGTCATCCCAAGCAGCGTCTGCTTAGTTACCGCATGATTGTTATTATCAAGCGTTATCAAATTGGAATAGAGAGACTTTTCAGGCTAACAACTTGTTTAACAAAAACCATTGAATCTTTTGTGCTGCTGATTTGCTCAATTAATTGAAAATCCAAATTTTAATACTGGACACTAGTTTCTACTGCAATGGCTATATCTTGATTCAGTAAATGATATATCTAGATTTCTTACCCATGTATGAATAATTGTTGAATTTTGATTTTTTTTCTGCTGATGATTTTTTTGCTGTGTCGGTTTAGTTTTCGAATTCTGCATACAACCTGGCAGAAACTAATAATTCAGCACTCGTGTATGCTATAGATGCATTTTTATCTTGAGTGAATGGACTTTATAAGCTGATAATTTGAAGAGCAACAGCCATTCAAGCTGTAGTTATGTCTTATAGGCCAAAAAAGTAGTTCCTGCGAAGTCAATTTCTGTTAATTCAGCCGATATAAAAATCTATTTTGCTACATGAAAAACATGAGCTGCAAAATTGATCTTTAATTGTTCCGTTTAGTACAAACTTTGCAAAGTTAGATTCCTGACTACCGCCCTCAAAGCAGTTCCTTACATCGTAACCCATGACGGGAGAACAATCAGATATCCCCACCCCGAAGTGAGGCGAAACGACACCGTTATGGTTGAAATTGCGACCGGAAAGGTGATTAAGTTCATCAAGTTCGAAATGGGCAAGCTGTGCATGATCACAGGCGGTGCGAATATTGGCCGAGTGGGAGTAATGCAGAGACGTGAGAAGCTAGAGGGTGCGATTGACATTGTCCACGTCAAGGATGCTATTGGTGAGAGAGCTTCATTTTTGATCACGACAAATCTGCCGAGGCATTATTTCAGTCTATTTCACAGGCCTCAAGGGCAAATGGTTATGTAATTTCAGTCTAGCTCCTAGTAGATTAGATCATCTGACATCGGTCTTTAAGGTCGCTGATAGGCTTCTTCATTTTTTTCACCGTTCATCTTTTTTCGTGAATTAATTGAAACTTAGCTGTTTTTGTAGGAAACTCATTCTCAACCAGGATTACGAATGTGTTTGTCATTGGAGAGGAGAAGGCGCCTTGGATCTCACTACCGAAGCTGAAGGGAATCCGAAGGACCATCATGGAGGAAAGGAACTGGCGACTGGAAAAGTCTGCTTCCCAGAAGTGATGACGTCACGGCACTCCTCAAACAACAGAAGAGCCTCGAATCATTTCACGTGTCACTTGATCTTCATCTTAACGGCAATGAAGATGATAATTAAATTGACATGAGAAATGATGACGATGTTGATTGAATTTTCATGTTCTGATTTGACAATTTAACATGTTGAACGTGAAACATCCTTGTTTTATAAATCGAGTCAAAAACTGGAACTTTGAGCGCCGATTTGAGCTTATATTCAGCCTATGTTGTGCCAAGTGTTGAGCTCATCTTTTATGAAGAGTAATGAACGTAGTGAAGATTCTTATATAGGTCTTGGTGCTTTTTTTTGGTGAAATTCCACTTTCTAGTTTCGAAAGTGGAATTTAAATTTACAAGGAAAAAAATCTTTACCCATTGATCCAGTTTTTTCAAGTTGGGTTAATGTTATTACACAAGCAAAGCATGTGTGATAGTATGAGCTGTCTTTTTTTCCAACCTAAGTCGCAAATATTAGTGTTCATTTTGATCAATATCCAGCTATTAAGTACAGCCAATGCTAAGGAAATAAACACAGGCTATTATATTACAAAGAGCACTTTAACAGGGTCGGATGTTTTTAATGAACTTTTTCGTATACTAGTTAGAATGCGTCCGCTCTATAAATTAAGCCCTGTTAATTGTTGTTTTTTTCACGTTGTTTGGTACTGCTAATGCGTTATAATTGGCTTGCGTCACTTAGCATTTATGGAGACTCAAAATTGGCGTGCGTCACTTGAGAAATTATGTAGACTCAGTTTTACTCATTCAGTTTTCCCAGTAGTTTTATCGGACATTTTTGTCTGTATGCGAAGTGCAACCAAGAATCAAATTTATCGGTCATATTTTTGCCTGTGTATGCGAAGTGTCAATCTTAAATTCAAAAAGCTTGAAAGGCATCTATTTTTTCCTCGAAAATCAAGAGTTGAGATTTTTTCAACAAAACTAGTGTTTTTTTTGTTTACTTGCGTTCATTACTCTTTTCCAACTGTCAGTTGACTATGTTTATTATAATACACTGTTAAACTTAATTACTCGGACAAAATGCATTAAACTTGAAATTTAAAATGCGTTTTTCTCATATTGGGTTGAGATTAGGTGAAAAATGATTAAGACAACTTGATTAAAGTTTTCTCAGATTTTTTACGGTGCAATTTGATTTGCGAAATTTGGGCGCAATATTTTAGCCCAAAACAGTCCATTTTTACTCTTGTGAACTTATGTGAGCTGAGTGTAAAAGTACGACTATTCTTTTTGTCTAACCTAAGTCGCAAATATATTTTTGGCTTTTTGGGGAACCTTTAGAGCTTTATGATAGCATGTGCTTTGACATTCGATAAGTTGACACATGTTTTTCTCATTGTTCAAATGAATAAAAAACTATTTGTTTCAAGTTTCAATGCAATAATGAAAACTCGATTCGAGGCTTTTTCCAGTTTGAAGCTCTATTTTTTGCCGTGTTCTCGCAAGTGTTTGCGAAGCCCAGCTTCGCCTTTCTTGAATTTTCTACTCACTCAAAAATTACTCTTAAACTACTGGGTCAATTAGTGGCAAGCCGTATCAGAATGAGCATCTTAAATTCAGAAAAATTTAAAAGGGGAATAATCTCTAAAAAATTGCGCAGAATGTTTAAAAATAGTTCAAAATAAGAAAATTGTGTTTTAGATATAAAAAATGACTTTTTTCTATCAAATAAAAATAGCTATTTATAAAATTTGTTTATTATACTCCTCTTAAACTCTATTGGGCTTTGTAAGATGCTCACTTTGAACTAGCTGTCTCAGTAACTGATCCAGTAGTTTTCGAGTAATTTCAATTGACATAAAATGATCCGTATGTATTTTCATCATTTTTCACCTAGTGTCAACTTAATTTGAGAAAAATTTAATTTGAGAAATTTTAAAATTCAACTTTTATGCATTTAGTCTGATAGTTTAAATCAGCACTGTATGATATGCGTAGCTGTGTAAGGCGTTGAGGAAATCACAGATTTGATTGTTATTTTCAGAAGTGAATAGCCTGTAATGTCAGCAGCACCAGCAGCAGCTCCAGTAAACCCGCAGAAGGCGGCAGTCAATGGAAAACCAGGGGTAGAGGGAGAGACTAAGGCGCAAGTGCACAAGCTCAGAATCACTCTCACAAGCACTAACGTCAAGTCCATCGAAAAGGTACAACAGTTGTCGAAATTTGGAATGCTTTTCAAAAACCTAACTACATAAAATTTCTCAAGTCTTTTTATTCTGTTTTGAGTTATCTGTGGTCGACAAACACTTATCAGCTTTCAGCAATCATTAATCAACAGCGACAAGAATTATCAAATCGGAGCACAAACAGAGTTACTAAATCATTTGTGCTGACATCCTCAATTTCTGGAAGTTTTAAATTTAATTTTTGGTTACAATTGGTTTAACTACTAATGATTGTGACAGCGTGCGCTTGCTATGAATGTTCGAACTTGTTGTTGAAGTTTTTTCAGACTTTTAAATATAATTGCGTTTGCGATTAGCAAGCGTTATCAAATCGGACTTTTTCGGGTTAAATAGTTAAACAAAATCACTGAATCATTTGTGCAGCAATCAATTCTGCAGCAAACATTCAAATTTAAAATTCAAATTTAATGACAAGTTACAAAAACTAGTCGACGGCCAAGGGCCTAGGCTCGAAGCCGGTCAACCCGTTTTCTATGAAAAAAACAAAGTGTTAAGTATCATTAAAGCATCGTCCCATCAGTTGTCTGCTTATGTTTTGTCGGCTTAGTTTTCACATTTCTTACGTTTCTTGTACTGTAAGCTAATTGTATTGTGAATGAAAGTGTCGGTTTCTTTTATTACCCTTGCGATTAAATCGGGTTCGAGAGTTTTCGGAATACGTGGGAACTGTTATAATTGGCTTGAACGTTTTTTGTCCAATAGGTATCAGTGCGTTCAAGTCAATAATCAAACTTCTGACTGGTTGCATATAAATACAGGGGTACCGCAGGGCTCCGTTCTTGGCCTTCTTATTATTCATATTAATGACCTGCATCTCTCAGCGGCTGATCCAAATGTCTTTCTTTTTGCTGATGATACAAATGTGGCATGTAAAAGTTCGTGCTTTGATCTAATTCAAAAAAATATGACGAAATGTTTCCAAATGGTTATGTGCAAATAAATTAACACTCACTTCAGATAAAACAATCTTTATAACTTTTGATATAAATGAAAGTGCTTCTTATCTTCAAATTCACCTAGCTGAAAATGTATGAGCCGAAGCCATCCTGTAAATACCTGGATTGCAAATTGTTCTTTTTTGTGTTTCATTTTCAAAAAATTAAAACGAAACTGGGGCTTCATTGTAGCATTGTTTCAAAAATGCTTCATTGTCGCAACGTCAATTTTACTCAAATACTACCAATCGAATATCAAACCAATAATAAACGGTTTGCTTGTGTATGGGGGAACCAGTTTTTCTCTTTTGAACCAAATTTATATGTTCCAGCGAAAAAGTGTTCGAATGATTTTTCAAGAGGAAGTTTGATAGTATAACACAATATTTCTGGGATTTCAAAATCCTAACGGTACGTGAACTTTACGTATAGGGTTTATTGAAGTTTTGCCTCCGATCCTTGAATCATAGACACAAAATTTTTTTCTTAAATTCAATGTCTCTCCGAAAATTTGTGCATATCCGAAAACAACCAGAAATCTCAACAAAAAAAAATATTTGTTCTCTGTTTCGTAAAAATAAATCCAAATCGTGCTCTCTAACTAATAGAGGTACAAAATTGCTAAAATACTAAGCAATAACAATCTGTTGCCTGGAAAGTAACCAAAAATGAAGAAAGAAGTTTCGCTTACAAATTCAAAAATAGTGCAATCCATTTTTAATTAACCTTTCATATTTACATATATTTATGCTTTATTAGTCGATATCGTTTCGGTTTTTTAAGTGTCAGTATCACACTTATGTAGGCAGTGGTCTTCGATGCTCGAGGTCAGTGGTTCGCTTCCTGTAGAGGGTATATTTTTTTTTTATCAAAACGCATCTTTTTTTCCCTTTTTTCTATTTTTATACCTTTTTGTCGTTTCCAAAGTGCAGCTCTGTCTGTGTCGAAAAATGATTCATGAAATTCAAAAAACTTCAAGGTCTTATATTTTTTTCTTTAAAATGATTCCAGACATCAGACTGTTTTGTGATTTATTGTTCAATCACACTTTTTCCAGTGTCTTGGTTGTTTCTGGAAATCGAACGCAAAAACAGAAGTGTCTTGTTTTTATGACAATCATGTGTTAAAGGTGTGTGCCGACTTGATCAAGGGCGCCAAAGATAAAAAGCTCCCAGTGAAGGGCCCAGTAAGGATCCCGACGAAGACTCTTCGAATCACAACGAGGAAGACACCATGTGGAGAGGGATCGAAGACATGGGACAGATATCAGATGAGGATCCACAAGAGGCTAGTTGACCTCATGTCTCCTCCCGACGAGGTCAAGCAGATCACCTCCATCTCTATTGACCCCGGAGTAGAGGTCGAGGTCACCATCCAGAACTGAAGAGGAAACACTGACGCAATGGATGTCTGATGAGTATTCGTCAGTTGACTTTTGTGGCTATGATTTGATAGTTTGCGTTGTATGTTGGTTATTCGTGAGAATTGAATCTTGCTGCGCACCTGTTTTAAGTATTGTTTTGAGTAATTAGAATTTCAATCAAAAATATATGGTTATTAGATTTGATTTGCGAATCTCAGCTGTAGCTAGATCTTAGATATGAATATGATTACTTCTTAATGAATGAAGTGATTTAGCACTTATATAGGTCATGTTGATTTTGCTTCGTTCAGTAAAAGTCTGTTGCAATTTAATCACGGTGAAATTTGATTTTTCACGTTCTGACTTATTTCTTTTAAAGTTATTTAGTAAGAGGGAGGCAAATTATGTTCTCCGATTACGAATGTTCAAATGGCGCAAAAAAACATGGATTAATTTACGTTTTGCAAGTGGACTGTATCTTTTAGATTTCCTAGCGAAATATAAAAAAAAATTACCTATTGACACATGGGCGCATTTAGGAAAAAAACAGTCCCCCCTCCCACCTTCAGGGATTCGATCCCCTGCCGGCCCAAAATGTCCACTTCGGTAATATTTTAAGGTATCCATTTTTAGGTGAAGGAAAGGCGCCTTCGGCGTCAATATATACTACTTATGAGGCGGAATGCGCCAAAAAAACGGCTTTTTAGGCCTGTTTTCTCAAAAGTAAGCCTCCGCAGCAGAAGATTAGGTCAAAATTTTCTCCAACTTTTTCTCTAAGTTTTTTCTTCGCAGTTCGAAAGTAAATATTTAGAAAACAATCAATTATTTTTGGGCTTCCTTGATCTCATTGACATTTTTCAATTTTCTGTCGGCTATGTTTTCAATTGCATAATTCGTTAACTATCATTTGCCATGAAAAAACCGGTTGGTGACTTTTTCAGATCACTTGTAGTGTTGTGAGCAATGTCTGCCGTGACTATTCACACGAGGAAGTTCAAGGTCAACCCCCTGCTGGCCAGAAGACAGATGTTGGTGGATGTAGTCCACCCTGGAATCGCGTGTCCCAGCAAGGAGAAAGTATCCGCTACCCTATCAACGCTATACCACAAGGCAAGTCAATATTGGATAGTAAACTTAATGAAATTACTCTGTAAATGCTTTGGTGTCAGTCTACAGTTGTGCAATATTAAGAATTTAAAAAATATTATACCAGTTTAAAACAGAATTAACCGTTTTAAGCATAAGATTGGAAATTGAGAATATTAATTTGCTTACTTTTTTTCGGTTTGCCTTAATGTTAAGTGACATTTACTAATCAAAATATGGCCTTATTTTTGTATTAGGATGCGAAGAACATCGTCTGTTACGGATTCAAAACACAATTTGGTGGAGGAAAGACAACCGGCTTCTGCCTCATCTACGACTCAGTTGAAGATGCCAAGAAGTTTGAGCCCAAACACAGACTAGTGCGCAAAGGACTGATAGAGTCAAAAAAGGGCAAGGAGCAAGGCAGAAGAGCGAAAAAGACAAAGAAGACGAACGCCCGAAAGGGAAAGAAAAAGCCCAAGAAGTAATCTTTCCTCGCAGGCTAGAAGAAACAATCACAAGAGTCAGTCAAAGGAGAGATGAAAAGAGCATTGGAACTCTGCTGCTGCGAATTATCTTAAAGAGTGATCTGTTTTGATTTCATTTTGGATACTTGCTAAAGCGGAACCTTGGCTCTCAATTCACTTTTGACAAGTGCTTGTTGTTTTTAGAAGGAAAACAATAGGAACGAGATGAGTTTTCAGCCATCTTAGAGAATATAGAAATGAAGGAAATAATAATCCTATCTGTAATTAGTGGGTTGTTATTTAGTTTTATAAAAGCACCAGTTGGCTGCATTGTCACTTATAATGCAAAGAATTAGAATTTATTCTACAAATCAATTAGGATATCAAATAGAATTTCCGCCTTTCAGATCTGAAATGGCTGAGCAAAGTTCCCACATCAAAATCAGCTTCTCAGCCAAAGAGTCAACTGAAAAGGAAGAAGAGGACGAACAGCAGATAATGAACAAACAGGGAGGGGACGAGGGTGCTGTAGTGAAGGTAGACGAAGACAATGGAGGTGCAGGTTGGTATTTTGTTAGGGGGGATTCCTTATGCGCGAAGGAACTAATTCGCGCAAATTTTGTCAACCTATCAGAGCTCAAGGTTCCGAAATTCGAAAGAATGAAGCGCGTTGAAAGTGCGTGGATTGGTTGGGACTTTTCGCGTATTCGGTCTTTCGCACATGAGAAAAGCCCCAATTTATTTGCTCACAGTCTCATCTACCATGTCTTGTCCAAAATACTCGAATTATTTCCACTTTGGAACATGGATCTGAACTAGCAGAAAATGTTCACAAAGCAATTTATCTCAGTTTGAGAACGGCTGGTTGATAAATTTTAGCGTCCTAGACGAGTTTAATGTTTACGATTTAAGCTTTTCATTCAATTTAAGCTGACGTTGGCAAACAGCTTTTTATTCTTGGTTAATAAAGCCGTCGATTAACTTTCATTTCAGCCTTGAAAAGTTGGTTTTACTAATGACTTTGGTTTTCGAAGTTTCTTTTAGCTCCTTGGGAGTAAAATTTAAAAAAATCAATGTCCGCAAAAAGTATGAAATTGTTTAGATTTTTTTTTTCATTTTATTGTTTTTTTGTTCAGTTTTCGACGAAATGTCTAAATATGCCTAAGTTAGTATCACTATCGAACATGCTTAAGTTCTAGGCTTTCGTTTAGATCATCTCAATACACCACAGACATTAAGCGACATGATTTGATTTTTTAAAAACTTTTTGAGAGTCTATGAACGTATTTACACTAGCCAGCTTGCGAGCGTTATTGTATTAGTACTAGCCTTTTTTCTAACCTAACACGCAAATAAAAGTGTTCATTACACTTGCAAAGCGAGTGATTAGAACGAACCTTCTTTTTTCCAACCTAAGTCACAAATATTGGTGCCACTTTTGGGGCACCTTTACAGCTTTTTCATAGCATGTGCTTTGACGTTCGAATAGTAATAAGTTAACACAGCTCATGTATGTTTAGTTCATCAAATGAACTGAAAAAATGGAATTGTTTCATTCAACATAACAGTAATGAAAACTCGATTTCAAGAAATTTTTTAAATCAATAAATGCAATTTTTTGAAATGCATAATGTATGAATAATGTGACTTTATGCTCTGTGATTTGTAACATGCAAAGTTAGTGTGGATGCCTTCAGTTTGTTATATTCCAAATTATTTCTTGCAAAATTGAGTGTATTTGTATTTGGTGCCAATTTATTAGCATATGTAGCTGCTTTATTTGTGACTAGTGTCGCATTAGCAATTTATTAGCATTTTTAGCTGCTTTATTTGTGACTGGTGTTTGTCGGTTGTTAAGATTGCGTGGCTGACATGAGACTCAAAATAATACATGAGACTCAAAATCTCTTGATTGCATTTGGTCGCAGATTGAAATCCTACACGTAGCCGTGTTTCTGCTAATTCGAGGCTTATTTCTACTTTCTCTTACTCACTTGATAGATCTGCTTTTTGGTCGTGTTCTCGTAAAAGTGTTCACTTATTTTGTAGTTTTTTTGCTATAATCACGACCTGTAGCATGGAAATTTCAAAGCATCTGTTCAAAGCTTTATTTGTGGCTAGTTTTTGTGATTTAAGCGTTCGTGGCTGCGTAATTATTGTGTGGGGTTCATAATATCTAGTTCGCAGATCGATTCCGAGACATAGCCGAACTTTTACTATAATTCGAGGCTTATTTCTACTTTGCTTATTGCAATTTACAAAGCTGCTTTTTGTTGTGTTCTCGCTAGTGTCTGCGAAGCTCAGCTTCGCCTCTGTGTTCAGAGTCGATTATAGGTCTTGATGATTTTTTTCCGTTTTTCTACGAAAAGTATTTGTGTCCTGTCGTGCGCTCATTTTTTTCTGAATAAGTTTTTTTGTGCACTTTTTTAAGATAATTTTTTGTCTTTTTTGCTGAATTTTGTTAGCTACGTCCAGATATAAATAAAAGCAAGTTTTAATATATGTGCTCAGAAGTTGACAAAAATATTGTTTCATTATTAATTTTTTTTCAAAACTAACGTCGGAAGTTTCTGTTCCATTTGCACACCAAACGTCAGATTTTCTTGATTGTTCGATGTGATTGATTTTGGTAAAATAATTTAGAAAAATGGTAGAAATTACTGTTGAAATTTTTAAGAGTCGATGAATGTAGTTCAGTCTCTTATATAGGTCGTGATGATTTTATGTTATATTTTTCAGGAAAAGCCTTAAAAGTTTTTAAGGCAAATTTCGCTATCGAACTGCGATATTGTAAAGTTCACGATAAATGTGACCGACTTCTAAGTTCGAAAACAGAATTAGTTTATCCGATTTCCCAGAGAATTAAAAATTTATACCTATTGGTCTTTTCCTCAAATTGGGTTATTTTTGTCAAAAACGTGTCAATGATGAATTGTTCTAGAAGTTCAAAGGGCTTTAAGGCTGTCTATTTTTTTCTCTGTAGTTGAAAGTTTCTTGTTTACTTGCGTTCATTGGCTCTTTTCCAACTGTCTGTTGGCTATGTTTTTCAATTTTGGACCAAACTTTCTGTGCTACTTGCACAGCAAGCGGCTTTTCTTATTACACACTGTGATCACTTGAGTAAATAATAGTTTTTTTTACTTCTCTCAGTTGAGCATTCTAGTTAAGTTGCTAAGGCGGAATCCCTCACTTCCGAAGGATTGAATGGGGATAGCTGATCACAATTCAATGTTAACGCAATCGAGTTTTATAGCTTTGGCTTATACGGTCTGTCCGTTTTCTTTGCTCAAAGGTGGTCGGTTTTGTTTCCGCTTCGTAAATTTTGCTGTGTTGCTAATTAAATATTTACCCATATGATGTTTCAGTTGGAATGTTTGTCTATAATGAACTTAATCGAGACAAAAGAAAGTTTTGTTAGACCTAGTTTTTCATTTTTTTTTTTTTCATTTTTTCGACTCATATATATATTTTTTTCAATTGCGAGAAGTAGACTATTTCCCATAAACAACTTTTCTTACACAAATCTTGCACACGTCCTCAATTCCGACATGCTCCACGGCTGAAATTTTCAATATCTTGAAATTTGAAATAAATAAAACTACATTTTTTAATCATATGGGGTAATAATTTTTTTTTCAAAATTAATTATTGAAAAATTGTTTTTTTTTCGGGTATGTGGTTTTCGTCTTAATTTATGTCGGCTGATTTTTCGTTTTTTTTAAGCCAATTTTTTTTCTGGAAAGCTTTTCAAGTCGTTCTTCGTCAGAGCTCGGGTTTTTAATTTTTTTTTATTCAAACAGTTTTAAGTATAATGGAAAGTAAGTTGCTCTGTAGTTAGTAAATTTTTCAAAAAGAAATCTGATTTTTGTAATTTTTTTTGCTTAAGCGGGTTCGGTTTATGTTGTATTGGCTTAATCTTCTCATTTTGCGGAAATTCAGGACCAATTGTTGTAATGCTTTAGAAGGGATGGTTTGTTGAATAAATTTTTTTTTGCTTGAATGATTTATTGCTGTTTTATTGCTGCTCGGTAATTACTTCTCGATGCTTGTTAAAGCTGTTTATGAACTTCGTCTGAGACAAAGCAATGATTTTTTGAAGATATTCTAGACTTTCGTGTTGTTTTTTTTCAGCTTAATTTAAAAAAGGCTTCCTACTTTTGTTATCAATATCTTGTAATGGAATGTTTTAATTGTATAACAAGTATTGCGAAGCTCCGCTTCGCATCTGTCTTACACTAGCGATAACAAGTCTTTTGCAACCGGATGCTAGATTTTTCCCCGGCACACTTATACTGGAGTAACGAATACCCCTGGTCGTTCTGATTTTCAAAACCTGTCGGCTTAATAATAGTCTGCATATGTTTCGTCGGCTTATTTGCTACATCGTAGATTTTTTGAGATACGCAATTTAATTTATAAATGTTCAAGTGTTTAAGAGTCGGTGAACGTAGTTTGTTTAGTCTCAAATTCAATTTTTCGTGGTTTGACTTTTGATTTCTTTTTCAGTTCAGTTCATTTCCTTTGTTAGAAGGAAGGCAAACTCCACTACCGAACAGCGGAAGTAAAGGTCACGAAAAGGTGATCGACTTATCATTTCAAAAAACGGAAATTAATTATCTTATTTCCAAGTTAAATAAAAATTTTAACTATTGATTCAGTGTAAGGCCATCTTTTTTCCCTTAAAATTCGAATTTTTCATATTTTTTTATTTACTTGCGTTCATTGACTCTTTTCGAACTGTTTTTTGGCTATTTTTTGATTTACTTCTGCTGTTTGTAATTTTACAAACCTTGACTTCGTATATTTTCAATAGTTTGTTGTTTTTTGCTTCAAAAATTTTTTCTGCCAAAATGGTTGCCCTATATTTTATCAGCTTAGTGGCTTTATTTTGCGTCTTTTGATGACCCAAGAAAATTTCGTGTGCGTGTGTGGGTGTTTTGAGGGATAGGGGGACGCTAACATTTTTTTTTTCAGTTTTTTTGGCTGATGCGGTTTTTGCTTAAGTTCTGCTTTTTTCCGCTTGGTAAGTTATCTTTCTACACTTATTTCACATTCGTTTGTCTTAGCTAGTTTTTTTTTTCAGAACTAGCTTTAGTCTTCTTAATAAATCTAGTTTTTTCGGCACTTTTTCCCCCGACCGTATCGGCGATGATGCGAAGCTCCGCTTTTCCGTGTGTTTATGTTTGTAATGTATTGCAAGTGATGCGAAGCTCCACTTCGCCTCTGTTAGCAATTGGTATAAATTCATTTAAATTTTTTTTTTGGTTTTCGTGATTCATAAACGCTTTTTAATGTCTTTTGGCTGTTTACAGGTTTCCAAAATAAGCATTGACCAAGAGTACTCAGTTTGGGTTGAAATAGTTATATTTTACGGAACAAACATCTCTGAGATGATTAAGTGAAAAAAAGCCAAAAAAAACTATCGCTTGTTTTTTGGTCTTTGCTCAGTAGCCTTTTCCAACTGATTGTTGGATTTGTTTTTTATTAATCATTGATTTTCAAGCTATCATTTCAATTACAGCTGATGGTGATGACGACGATGAAGACGAAGAAGACCTAGTTGACCCGTTGGACACATTGCGTGATTCATGCAAAGACATGAAGACATGTCATGGTCTGAATGAGAAGTTGGAAGCATGCACACAAAGGGTAGAAGGGAGGAGCAAAAATACTGAAGAGTGCATAGAAGAAATGCTTGATTTAGTTCACTGTGTCGACAAATGTGTGAGCGAAGAAATTCACCACCACTGGAAATAGAAAAGTTATTAATAAAATATTGCGACTTTTAAACAAAGAAACCAGTTGTATATGATTAGAAATGTTAACTAGACTCTTATTGCACACTTAACTGAATTTACTGCAAGATTTGGTTTATTGTGATGCGATTAACGGACAGTGAGCTGAATTAAATTTTTTCACTACGTCATATTTTATCTGGATAGATGAGGGCCGGATTGATTTATTTGTGATTGATTTTTTTGTGAAACTCTTTCAAGTTGAGACGTTTGTTAGACAATTTATCAATTTTCGCTTTTTAAGGTGATTTTTTTTCAGTGACTTTATCATTACTTTCCCAAAGGTCTTAACTGTGTTGAAAAATATGTGGCTACAATAGCAGCAAGGATAGCCCAGAATGTTCCAGCCTTAATGATTTGGGCAAGGAAATTCAAAAAAAAAATTCTAAAAAACTAAAGGATTAAACAGTTTAAAGAAATTAAAAAGTTATTGTTGAGCCAATTAAGTAAGATTTTGTAGAATGAGCGGTTATTATAGATGAAATAACGTAAAACCTACCGTAGATGTTAATTTAAGTTTGAATACTGAGTTTCATGAATTGGTCTGAAAATATCAAAAATGCAGGCCCATTGTTCTTGATTTCAGACAAGTTTTAGTAAGGAAATCATATCTGGAAAAGCTTTGATATGATACTAAATTCGACCCCCCCCCCCCCCGCAAAAATTCCTAATTTTTTTGAGGCAGTCAAAATTCCGAAAAACACAAAATTCGGAAATAAAAATCTTATATTTGGGCTCGGCTGAATCTCTTGAGATACTCTCATCTATGATTTGTCACAATTTGAGCCATGAACCTCAGGTAATTAAAGAAACGGTTGACTCAAACAAACCGATACTGTACAACGAACTGCGAAAGAAATCAAAGCGACATGCCCATTACGAGGCCAAACTTTGCACTGGATAGGAGCACAATTTTGTGTCTGTATGTTCCTGGATTCCAGAGACAAGTCCTTAAGCATGTTTAAATTGTGTTGGAACGATCAAAGAAAATGAAATAACAAAAGAAGAGCAAAGGGAGCGTCGTTGTTGCGAAATCCGCTTACATTTCACAAAATGCAGTGTGGGCTTGTAATGCCGCAAAATATCATTTTCTTTGTCAAACAGCGATTTTGTCATAATTTAAATAAAGGATTCGAATTTTAATAATTGGTTGGTAGTTTGAGTCATTCTCCCGCGCTCATTTTTTTCTGTAACTACTATTCTTTTAAGTGTTTATTCAACTATTCAAAATGTGCTTAGAAGTTGACATAATTATTATTTTGTTTTCAATTTTTTTTTGCAAAAATAAATGTCGGAAGCTTCTGTTCCATTTGTACAGCAAACGTCAATTCTTCTTGATTGTTCAATCTAATTGATTTCGGTAAAATAATTAATGAAAATTGAAAAAAAGGTTGATGAAATTATTAAGAATCGATTAATGTAGTTCAGTCTCTTATATAGGTCGTGATGTTTTTTTTTGTTTTTTTTTCTTAGAAAAATGCTAAAGTTTCTTAAGGCTCAAAGTTACTTTTTCGCGGTTTGACTTTTGACATCTTTTTATGTTCAGTTCATTTCTTTTGTTAAAAGAAAGGCAAACTCCACTATCGAACAGTGAAAGTTAAAAATCACGAAAAACGTGAGCGATTTCTAGTTTTTAGGAATTTATTTTTCACATTTCCCAGCGATATGAATTTTACCTAATGATCCAGTTTTCTCAAATTGGGTTACTTGTATCGAAAAATTGCCAATCAGAAATTGCTCTAGCAATTCAAAGAGTTTTAAGGGCATCTATATTTTCTTTTCGCTTGCGATTAGCAAGCGTTAACAAACCGGAATAAACTTTTTCGAGTTAACAACTAGTTTTAATGCTTATTTAACATTGGCCGTTTTGTTTCTGATTATTTTCCATAGATTTATCCGCATTCCAGACAAACGTTAAAAAAATCATTTTTTAAATGATTATTTTAAACATTTTTTTTTTCGACTCAGCGTGCGTCCAATTTTTTTGTGCTAGCTGTTGTCCTTTTTTGCATCGCAAGTGTTGCGAAGCTCCGCTTCGCCTCTTGTTGGAATTCGAAACTTGAGATTTTTTCGAAACACCAGTCAGTTTTTCTCCTTTACATGCGTTCATTGGCTCTTTTCCAACTCTGTTGGCTATGTTTGGTTAGTTTTGGTGGTTTAAGTTATCGTTGAAATTATCTGACCCTCTGAATATTTTCAGTTTGATTGAAATGGAAGAACAATGTTATTTATTTACTGCAGATAGTTTTCAACGAATGAGAACTAAATATTAAGGCCGATAACAACGGTCCATCGGACACTCTCTACTTAACTTCGGTAAGTGCATCATTTAACGTTTTGAATGGCGAAAGTTGTTGCAGTTTGAGAGCGTTGGGGGCCATATTAAAGAAGTCATGGCTATCAGGGATTACAATGTTATGTAATTGTTCTGAATATTACGCAATATTTGTTCACTAAACAGAAAATGAGAGTGGGCAAGGTCCATTTAGTTTGTGCTGAACAGAAATCTATTCAGTTCGATAAGATTTTGCTTTAATTGACAGAGTGAGCTTGGTTCAAAATCCAAGTGTCAGATAATTAAATTTTCATTCTGATATCTAGTTTGCAATTCCTTGGATACTAATATTTATTCTGACACTGAAATTTTTTCTGCGTCGGAGCTCAACCTTAAAATTGAAAAGAACCATAATTTTTGCAGTTTTCTGAGTTTTTTTTAACAATGGGAGGCTGTGAAAAAATTGGCAACTGTTGTTCAGCGGCAAATACGGCGGTGGAGCCAGCAAGTGCAATAAACTTCCAGAATCTAACTCTGGAAACGCAAATGAGACTGTTACACCAGCAGAATGGGAGCGGGATCAATTCACCGAGTCCTCCCGACTCCGAGACGGGCGATGGAGACTCGGCGTTCTCGGAAGAGGACTCGTGTTTCGTCAGTCTGAAAGACAAGATTAATCAGAGGCTCCAATCTGGAGACAGGTGGTTTTCCCTGGAGTTCTTTCCACCCAGAACCGCAGCTGGGGCTGTCAACTTAATCAATAGGTGGGTCGAATTTTCGAGTCGTTTAGTTTTCGCTATGGACAGAATTAGTGGACAAAATTAAGCGGAAATTCAGGTTTTCACTCTCTAAAAAGCCTGTTTTTAAGAGTCAATGAACGTAGTTCAGACTCTTCTATAGGTCGCGATGATTTTTTTTCAGGAAAGTCTTAAAATTTGTTCAGGCTATAATTTACATTTTTGCTATTTGACCAAGTTTTTTCAAGTTCAGTTTATTTCCATTGTTGAGAGAAAGGCAAACTCCGTTATCGAACAGCGAAGTTGTAAAGGTCACAGAAAACGTGATTGACTTCTAATTTCGAAAATGGATTTAAATTATTTGGTATCCCAGCGAAATAAAAATGTTTCCTATTGATCCAGTTTTTTCAAATTGGGTTAATTTAAACAAAAAAAGCTAATCATGAATTGTTCTAGAAATTTAAAGAGCTTTAAGGCCATCTATTTTTTTCGGAAAATCGAAAATTGAGATTTGTTCGAAAAAACAAGTCAGCTTTTTCTTCTGTTTACTTGCGTTTATTGACTCTTTTACATAGCCAATAGACAACTGTCTGTTGGCTATGTTTTTGAATTAAGGTCGATACCTTCTTCTGTGCTATATGCGCAGCAACCAGCTATTCTTACCATACCGAACAACTAATGATTGGCGCTGTTTTGTTAAAACTAACCCAATTTGAGAAAACTGGATCATAAGGTAATTTTTTTATTCCGCTGGGAAATCTGGAAATTAAATTTCACTTTTGATACAACAAGTCGATCAAGTTTGAGTGCCCATGCACTTTTGCTCTTCGATAAAGAGTTTCCTTCATTTTAACAAGGGAAATGAATTGAAATTAACCGGAATTGAAAAGATAAACGGATTTTCGCATGACTTGCGATATAACGCAAGCGCAGCATTGCGAGCTAGAGAAGGTAACAAAGCATATAAAACCAGTTGAAACCATTAAGTCCGGTAAGCTTTTAAGCAAACAACAAAAAAACTAAAGACAAGGCAAATATACCACATCAGGGCTATTGTTTATTTAATTACAGGAGTGAATCAAAAACACTCACATCTACGATAAAGTTACTGGCAGCTCAAGAAAACTAGACGATGTGGCAACTAGGTCGACGAAACATAAGCAGACAAACGAAATTCCCCCAATTAAATTTATCAGCTGTCAATTTTTCAATTCAATTGCATGTATTCTAAAACAAAAAAGACTGGGGCAACTCCCACAAATTTGGGCTCAAGGGCAACTGCATTACCTCTAGGCAATGTGGGGGGTAGGATTCTCGAAGTTGCTGAGGTTCACGAATCAAGAAACTTCAATTTCAACTTCAGTTGTCATATAAGTTGTTAACGAGTAAAAAGTCTAATTCCGTATTACAACACACTTGCTTTCGCAAATGTAAACATAGCCAACAGACAGTTAGAAGAGAGTCAATGAACGCAAGTAAACGGAAAAATACTTACTTGCGTTCATTGACTCTTTTCCAACTGTCTGTTGGCTAGACTTTTTCCCGTGAACAACTTTACTTACATCTGAAGTTGAAATTGAAGTTTGTATATTATTAGTGTACCTTAGCAACTTCGACGGTGCTTCCCACTTAGCCCAGAGGTAACGCGGTTTGTGGTTGTCTCTGAACATAAATTCTGAGGTTCGCGTCCCCGTCGGACCTTTTTTTCAGTATAAATGAAATAATAAAACAAAACTTTCCGGGAAAAATTGAATTGTCGAATTTGTGTTTGTCTGCTTATATTTTGTCAGCTCAGTTGCTACATTGCCGAAACTTTTTGTGCGGTCAGCATGTTTGTCTTAGATGCAAATGTTTTTGATGTGTTCCTGTAATTTATAAAAATTAATAGCCCCGACTTTGTATACAATTTTTTGTTTTTACTTTGGCATTCGGCAAAAATGTTTTCAGCTTATGTTTTATCGGCTTAGTTACCTTGACTTGTGTCGCTTCAAGGGCAAAAATATTGTAGAAAGTTAAATGTCTTAAAACCTAGTCGCTCAAAAAAATTTTGTCAACCTTTTTTCTGCCATTTTTCTACCATTTTTCTGCCAGCTATAAAGGTCATTTAAATTTGAAAGTACTGGAAAAGTTGCCCAACAGTCGCCTAAGATGTGAGCGTCGTAATGAGAAACTGCGTTTCAGGTTCGAACGGATGGGCAAGGGACAGCCACTGTTCTGTGATGTGACCTGGCACCCGGCTGGAAACCCTGGAAGTGACAAACCAACGAGCAGCATGACCACAGCAGCTGCTATGCTCCACTTCTGTGCCCTGGAGACAGTGCTCCACATCACGTGCTGCAACATCACCAGGGAGGGAATCCGCCAACATCTGGACAAAGCAAAGAGGCTGGGAATCAGAAATCTGGTTGCACTCAGAGGAGGTGAGAAGACATTTACAATAAGTTTAAATCTGGACCAAAGTAGCATCCTCCCCCTAAAGCGTTTAACGGGAGGGTGTTAATTTTCCGCCAATCAGAAGCGAGTGCTTTCATGCAGTTTTAAGTGACTTTGATCCAAAAAAAAATAGTGGAGCGTAATGTCTCAACCTGAAAAAAATATCTACGTATTCTTTTGAGGTTGGGTGGGCGGTAGGATTGTGTTAGGGTATATTACTTTGATCTCAAATCTTCAATGAACACGAGGAGCCTGATGCTGGCAAGTTCCACAGTTTTACATCAATCATCTTTGAATCACACTCTTGAAAAAAAAATTGTTGTGCCACATGAAGTGAATTGGCTGAGTAGCTTCTGGCAATTGGCCTCTGCTTCATTATTGAATGGTGATGTTCGTTTGGCTTCTCGTGATTGACTTCAGTAGAAAAAAAAATGTGATGGTAAGATCACTTCGTCCAGTAATGACTCAATTATATATCACTCAATTTTATTTAGGACCAGTGGTAAGCTATCGTTGGAGTTTGGTACTAAAAGCGAAAATAGGTTCTTTCGAAAGATTTTAATTTATTTAATATGTCGATTTAGATCCTCTTAAAGGCCAAGAGTGGAAAATCACAGAAGACGGATTTGCATATGCTTCTGATCTAGTCGCTTTCATCAGACAGGAATATGGAAACTTTTTCACGATAGCAGTTGCAGGATACCCTGTCAAACATCCCGAGGCACAAACATACGAAGATGACATCCAAAACTTGAAAACGAAAGTTGATGCAGGCGCCGATGTTATCATCACGCAATTGTTCTTCGAAGCAGAGACGTTCATAAAGTTTGTTCATGACTGTCGAGATGCAGGAATCTTAATTCCAATTATTCCTGGAATCATGCCAATCCAGGGATACCACTCCCTGAGAAATCTAGTTAAACTTTGTGGCCAGGAAATACCAGCACACATTCAAAATGCGATCGAACCGATAAAAGACAATGACTTGGCAATTAGAAATTATGGAGTGGCACAAGCTGTTGAAATGATCCGCTCAATCATGGACAGTGGATTTGAGGGCGGATTCCATTTCTACACTCTTAACAGGGAAGTCGCTACGACTGATATTTTAAAACAGATAGGACTTTGGAACATCCAGAGAATCCAAAGACCGTTTCCTTGGAAGCTGGTTTCTAATTGTCCAAAAAGACGATTTTCTGAAGACGTTCGACCTATTTTTTGGTCTATGAGGCCGAAAAGTTACACTCACAGGACACAAGATTGGGATGAATTCCCAAACGGACGTTGGGGTTCCTCGCAGTCTCCGGCTTTCGGGAACCTGAGCGACTACCATTTGTTTTACCTGAAAACAGCCCATCAGAAAGAAGAACTTCTGCAAATGTGGGGCACTGAGTTAACATGTGAACAAGACGTGTTTGACGTTTTCAGTGCTTTTATTGGTGGTACGGATAACAAGAATAACAAAGCGGTCACTCATTTACCTTGGACTGAAGGGGATGATCTTCATCCTGAGACTGCGTATATCAGAGAGCACTTGGTGTCCATAAACGCGAATGGTCTTCTAACTATGAACTCACAGCCCAATGTAATGTGTGTACCTAGCGAAGACCCCGTTTATGGATGGGGACCACCACAGGGATATGTATTTCAGAAGGTAAAAGACTTCTAGTTTATTTCTTTTTTTTTGTACGGAATTAGTTTGAAGTCGTGCACGGAAAGTTTTTTCAATAAAGTTACTTTCGAAAACCTTTGGGAGTGGCTATAAAATTTTTTTAGTAAAGATTGTATTTTGTCTTAATTCTATGGTTTGTCCAGGCTTACCTCGAGTTCTTCACAGCACCAAATAAGGCGCACGCTCTTCTCTCTGTTGTGAAACGCTATCCGAGCGTAAACTACCACTTCGTAAACTGCGACAGCGAAATCAATATCACAAACTGCAAAGATGGCAGCACAAACGCTGTCACTTGGGGCGTCTTTCCTGGAAAAGAAATTCTACAGCCGACGATAGTGGATCCGGATGCATTCTATGTCTGGAAGGAGGAGGCTTTCAATATCTGGCACGAGCACTGGTCTTCGCTTTACGAGGAGGGATCCAGATCGTGGCAGGTGATTGAAGACATTCAGAACTCGTATGTGCTGGTCAATTTGGTCGACAATGACTTCCCAAAAGAGACAGTACTATGGAGCCTAGTGCAAGAAGTGAGTTTCTGAATTTTCTTTTATACTTTTTTAGAAAATAGTATTCTTTTTTTTCATATTTTATTTTCATTATAATTGCGAGCGTAGTGTTTTAGTGCGATCGTTCTTTTTTCTAATGGTACTAGCATGTAAAAGTGTTCACTTGGTGGCTTTTTGCTATAATCACGATATGTAGCATTGGAAGTCTCATAGCATCTGTTCTCTGCTTTATTTGTGGCTAGTGTTTGTTGTTTATTAAGCGTCCGTGGCTGAGTGGTTAGTGTGTGGGGCGCAGAATCTCTAGGTCGCACATCAATTTGGGGACGTAGCCGATTTTTTTTTTTTACAAATTCGAGGCTTATTCCTACTTTTTTATTGCAATTTAGAAAGCTGCTTTTTTGTCGTGTTCTCGTTAGAGTGTTTGCGAAGCGCAGCTTCGCCTTTGTGTAGCTAGATGGGTCAAATAAGAGATTTTTGTGCTTGTGTTGGCAAGTAAGAAATGAATTTCAGCTTGGTCAATTTTTCTTGGGTGTCAATATCCCTAAATCTGAAATTAAAACGTAAAAATAAGTTATTTGGATAGCTACTGGTTTTCCATCAGGCTTACCAGGCGTCCAATTTCTGAATGAGGTAAGATGCGCAACATTGAATATTCATCCTATTGTACAACTTTTTGATGATGGATGACAGGATTTTGAAAAATCTTCGAGAATTGAGGAGTATAAGGTTGATGATTGCATACATACTCTAAGAGATCTATATTTGTGATAAAGAAAAAGTACAGAGCCTTTTTTGGTGGCTTCTACGCTATGTAGTTATATAAATGCTGGATAAAAAACAAAGCAATTTTTTTTCGTTTTCTAGCGAGAAGAAACTGTTTGTTCATAGAGGTTCCACTCGACAGGCGAACTTCTCTTTTTGGATTCCTCTCAAGGATGCAGTTAAAAATCAGCTGAAAAACTTTTACTTTTTTATTTTTGAAATGGCATCTTCTTGTTAGGTCATTTATTATGATTATTTAGGATTTGGCGGCTGAATTGGCGTCGCAAAGTGACCAGCTGGATTATAACCGCGTACTCAGATCTCTCCCGGAGAACCGAAGCGTGTCATCCAGTCAAAACACGAGTCGCCGGCCATCGAATAACCTACCATACAGTGCACAGCCAACTTCCACAGGGTAATGCAAAAAAAGAAAACCATACTCTTCTCAGAATAAGGACTAGTGAACTTGATTATCTCTCAGATTTTATAAATTTCTATTCAATTTTATATCTTTTGCAAAAAAAATTTATTGCTTATGCTTTTGGATGTAATGTTTCGATAAAGTTTGGTAGCTGGATTATTGCAAAATTATTACAAAGATAGCCGGTTAATGTGCAAATAGCACAGAACGTTCGAACCATAGTCTTAAAAATACAAAAGGAAGTTTTTTTTTCAAATTAGTGTGGTTTTTTGCGTGGTGTGATAAACGAAAAACTAGAACTAGATATTCGAAAGTCATGGTAATAAAGCAAATTGGACAACAGTTTTTGAAAAAATTGACTAGGAAAACAGAAAATTCAAAATGACGCCAAAAACACTCGAAAAAATAATTTTACTCGAGTGAAACCAAGTTTTTACGGCTTAAATTAAGCATAAATAAGCGATTGCAGGCCTGCTCGATCGCTTTGCCCACTCGAAATTAGATGAAAAATTAAAACTTCGAACCATTTTTCTTGACATCGGGAAAATTTCGTGAACGTTGTTTAATGTTCGAATCACGACTGAATCAATTTTCTACACTAGCCGTTTAGAGCATAGTGTCTTAATTCGAACCTTCTTTTTTCCAATCTAACTCGCTAATGAAAGTGTTCACTTGTTTCTTTGGTGGCAATTTTGCTATAATCCATATTCACGAGCTGTTGCATTGAAAGTTTCATAGCATCCGTTCTCTGCTTTTTTAAGAGAAATGAACGTAGTGAAAACTTATACTGATTTTTTTTTCAGGAGAAAGTTTCAAAATGTGCTTAAAGTCTCTTATAACTACAGATGTGCATTCATACAAGTTAATGCTTATTTTGCTCAAGTTGGATGATTTTTATCAAAAAAGCGCGAATCATAAATCGTTTTAGAAATTCGAAGAGTTAAAAGGGCATCTTTTTTCTTTGAAATTCGAAAATTGAGATTTTTTCAACTAAGTTCGTGTTTTTATGCTTACTTGCTTTCATTTCTCTTTTCCAATCTTCGATTGGCTATGTCTGTGGCTATACTAGGGCTTCAGACTACTTTACAGAGGCTAAGCTGCGCATCGCAAACACTAACGATTATCCGACAAAAACAGCTCTAGAAATTGGAATAAAAAAAGAGATAAGCCTCGAATCAGTAAAAACTCGGCTAAGTCTCAGATTCGGTCTTGTGGCCTAGAGATAATGAGTGTCAAGAATTAATTACTCAGACAGGGAAGCTTAATAAATCACAAAGACTAGCCAGAGACATAGCCAATCTAAGATTGGAAACGAGTAATGAGCGCAAGTAAACATAAAAAAAACATTGACTGATCTTTATTTTCGTGATTTATTAAGCGTCCCTGCCTGAGTGGTAAGTGCTTGAGACTCATTATCTCTAGGCCACAGATCGAAGGCGTATTTTTTCGAACCGAGGCTTATTTCTAATTTTTTATTTCAATTTATAGAACGGTTTTTTTTCGTGTACTCGCTAGTGTTTGCAAAGCCTCAACTCATTCCGATCATTATTTGTGATAGCTGATCTTTGTGGAAAACAAAACAAAAAACAACCGAACACAAAGTTCCTCTCCATTTTCAATCGCCGGAACAAAAGTGCATTACAGAATCTACTGAGTTGTAAAACGAGATTGAAAGCGTTTCTCCGTGAAATCAGGTGACAAAAGGGTAGGCAATATACTTATCTATTAGCACACAAGCAAAGCTTGTGTGATAGTATAAACTCTTTTTTTTTCCAGCCTAAGTCGCAAATATTAACTTTATTTTTTGAAAGTGTTCGCTTCTATCAAAAACCAGCAATTAAGTACAGCCAATGCTACGGATGTTAACACAGACTATTATATTACAAATAGCACTTTAGCTTCAAGGTTTTATGGATTTATAACGTAGAGGTAGGGAAGAAGACCCGCAACCAAATAGGAGGATTCGAACCTGCGAAGGGTCAGTTTTTTTAATTAATTTTTTCAAATACTAGTTAAAACGGGTCCTCTTTCTGAATTGAGGCGTGTTAGTTGTTAAATTTCTTTTTTTTCAAATTTACTGGTACTGCTAATGCGTCATAATTGGGTTGCGTCACTTAGCAATTATGTAGACTCATAATTAGCGTGCCTCACTTAAAAAATTTTGCAGACTCAAAGTTTCACTCATTCGGTTTTTCACAATATCGTTATCGGTCATCATTTTGCTTCTGTAGGTGGAGTCCAATTTCGCCACTGTGTTAAAACTAAAATGGCGCAAAAAACTGAATTACTTTTGAATTTAAGTTTTCAACATCCTCATCAAAGAAAGACGAATAATCCAGTTTCCTCTAACTGGTTTTTTTTTAGAATTGTGAGAGCAAGTAATTTGTAATATGAAATAAGACTTTTTTCCCGTATTCAGCCTACCTTACAAACTGTAAGTGATTCAGCTGACTTTGTTATTGAATCTTTACAGTTTCGCGGCTTCTCCCCACTTGTTCTAGAAGTAAAGCGGTCTGGAGTTGGTATTTTTGTTCAGTATGCAAAAAAGAGATTTGTTTTCGCTGATGTTTTATCAGATTATTCCATGTTTTGTTAGATTGCTCTTTCGAAGGACAAAAATTGATTTTGTTTTTAAAAAAAGAGATAAGTCGCTTGTGGTGTTAAAGAATCAAACGCAAAAAACTTTTTAAATCAAATTTGGGACACAAATTTCTAATGACATTTTTTTGTTTTCCGTTCACTGGGTGTCCACCCACGTATTATCAACTTAGTTGCCACTCAATAAATACAAAAAAATTATATATGTAAAGTTTGTTCGTTTTCTGAATTTTTGCATTTTTTCCAAAAAAAAATATCAACTTTTTTCAAAAGCCAAGGAACGTAGTCCAGACTTCTATATAGGTCGTGATTGTTGTTTCTTCCATTTTTTCTCGAGAAAAGTCTTCTTTTTTTGTTCAGACTCAAATTTAATTTTTTGCTGTTTGAATTTCGAATTTTTGAAGTTCAGTTCATTTTCTTTATTGGAAGAAAGGCATACTCCCCTATCGAACAGCAATAGTATGAATGTCACAAAAAAAATCAACTTGTAATATCGAAAACGGAATTAATTTATCCGTTATCTCATTGAATTTGAAGTTTTACCTATTGGTCCAGTTGAAAATTTACCAAAGAAAACAAATCCATTTTTTTCTGTTCACGTGCGTTTTTTCTATCCTTTTCCAACTTTTTCTTGTCTATGTTGTCACATAATTATTTCCGTCCTATTATTGTCTCACCTGCTTGCATGCTATGCTTAGTTTGTATCGCAGGTGTTGATCATTAGTTAGGAGAGATTCCAAATTAGCGAGCTTCAATGTGATATCTTTGATTCTTCGAAATTCGAACGTTTCAAAGTTGCCATTTTTTGGTTCACTTGTTGTCACATAATTTTTTCCATCACGTTTTTGTCTCACCTGCTTGCATGCTACGCTTAGGTTGTATCGCAAACGAAAAAGGTGTTGATCAGTAGACAGGAGAGATTCCAAATTAGCGAGCTTCAATGTGATATATCCAATTCTTCAAAATTCGAACGTTTCGAAGCTGCCATTTTTTGTTTCCCCCTGTTTTTATTTTTTTGTCTCCATGTTTGTCACTGGTTATATATTAACTGAGCAATTGCGTGTTTAAATTAGCGAGCTCTCCCGCACTTAAGAAAATTAAGAAAAATTGAGTATGATGGATTTTCGTGCTCGAGAATTTTGTCAAAATAACCGACTCCCATGTTACGCTCAGACAACCAAATTGGACAGAAATTGAAAGTAATTCAGTTTTTCCCTGCAAAAACATAACACATTATAATGCATTTGATTTACTATAATAAGTTATTTATTATGAAGAAATCACATTAAAGTGGAAAAATTTTTTCTACTTTAATTTTGTTTAGCGTCGTGCAAAATAATGGAAAAACTTTTGCAATTATCAATGGAATTTTGCTAAAATTTAGCAAAGGAGATTACGGCCTAATCCATCATTTAACTTATACTTTCACAAATTGCAAAAATATTCTGTTAACCTCTAATTCCCTAAAATTTTCCCCCTTGCCGCCTTACAACACCCATCTCATTATTTGCCTCTCTGCCCCCCCCCACACCTGAACTATGCCTCTCCCAACTGACTATCTGAAAAAAGTTAATCAAGTTTTTTTAACAGTCGTGGAATGTAGTCCAGACTTCTTTATAGGTCGTGAATGTTTTTTCTTCCGTTTTTCTGGAGAAAAGTGTTCTTTTTTGTTCAGACTCAAATTTAATTTTTCGCAGTTTGAATTTTGAATTTTCCAAGCTCAGTTCATTTTCTATGTTGAAAGGAGAGAATACTCCCCTATCGAACAGCGATAGTACATAAATGCCTTGGTAAAGCAATCGACTTGTAATATCGAAAACGGAATTAATTTATCCGTTTTGTCACTGAACTCAAAGTTCTACCTAATGTTCCAGTCGAAAAACTACCGAAGAAAAGAAATCCATTTTTTTCTGTTTACTTGCGTTTTTTTATTCTTTTCCAACTTCTTCTTGGCTATGTTGTCACTTAATTGTTTCCATTACGTTTTTGTCTCACCTGCTTGCATGCTACGCTTAGGTTGTATCGCAAACGAAAAAGGTGTTGATCAGTAGATAGGAGAGATTCCAAATTAGCGAGCTTCAATGTGATATATCCAATTCTTCGAAATTCGAACGTTTCGAAGCTGCCATTTTTTTTCCCCTGTTTTTATTTTTTTTCTCATTTTTTGTCACTGTTTATATATTAACTGAGCAATTACGTGTTTAAATTAGCGAGCTCTCCCGCATTAGAGAAAATTAGGAAAAATTGATTATGATGGATTTTCGTGCTCCAGCATTTTGTCAATATAACCGACTCCCATGTTACGCTCAGACAACCAAATTGGACAGAAATTGAAAGTAGTTCTGTTTTTCCCTGCAAAAACATAACACATTATAATGCATTTGATTCACTATAATAAGTTATGTAGTATTTAGAAATCACATTAAAGTGGAAAACAATTTTCTACTTTATTTTTGTTTCGCGTCATGCAAAATAATGGAAGAATTTTTGCAATTATCAAGGAATTTTGCTGAAATTTAGCAAAGGAGATTACGGCCTAATCCATCTCCAAACTTATACTTACACAAAGTGCAAAAATATTCTGTTAACG